TTTATTGTCTCTTAGCATGCAATTTTAGAGATTTTACGTTTACTCACATTATTTTGTAAACTTTCAGGTTAGAAATATAAGTAAATTTACAGCAATTAAATTTTTACCAAAAATGTTCGGAATGTTTACCAAAATGATGTATATTTACCAAGTTTCAATCTTTTTTACAATAAACTTTGATGCAACCAAAGGCACATTAAACCCCGGTAAAAATACATGCGTAATATTTCAATATTGAAATGAAAATAGCAAAGCCAGTAGGTAATTTTACAGATTTACGTTTATTCACATTATTTTGTAAATTTACTTATTGGTAAATTTACTGTCTCTTATGTAAATTTACTGTCTCTTATTCTATTTTAGTATTCCATAGCAACGAACCATTCCTAATAATTATTGTCTTATAGTATTCATTCTAATTTATTAACCATAATATGGACAATCACATTTTGTGAAATTTGGTATATTGCATGTTATATATATTTATTTTTCTTTATTTATACGATCTAAAACGTGTATTATTATTCATCGTACGTTGATCAGATTGTAAGTATGTTCATTAATTTATAAAAAAATGTTTTGCTTTCTTGTCATAGATTGTATTATCTCGTAACCAAGGTCAATTGAAGACGGTTAATTAAACCGATTGGCCAGTGTTAGCTTGACTGTCTCTAGAGCAGAGTTACAATGCCTGCAGTAGACAGTACCACAAGCTTACATCTAAAATCCTGGAACGGAAGTTAAAATCATTGTGGTTTTTTTTTAACATTTGTCTGTAATTTTTCATTTACTGCTTTTAGGTAAATTTACATTAGGAAGTCTAAAAACAAACTTACTGTAACCGTTCATTTACTGTGTTGCGGTGAATTTACAGTTCAAAGTTAAAAAAACAAACTCATGTTATTTTCCATTTACTGTTTTAAGTTAAATTTACTCACAAAGTCAAATTACAGAAACTCTGTAATATTACAGCTGAATGTTTATTTACAGTAAATTTACTGGCAACTTTTGCTGCCAGTAATTTTCATGTAAATTTACCAGATTTTTTCTAACAGTGTGAGGCTTCAATTTTACAATTTTGTGTGAAGCTTTGGGGCCATGAAATTTATTGATATTCAATGGTTAGCTATCTTCCGTTCCGGAGTTGTACTCTCCATTCTTTGAAAACCTTGTTTTTAACGGATTTTCGATATTCAGTGTTCCGCGACAAGGATGACCCCTGTTAATTTTCAGCAATATAGGACTTCTGTCCCAGAGATATAGCAAGCACGTGAACACGATAGAGATTAAATTTCTTGATGAATGTTAGATCCTTATTCAATTAAATTGAATACGGATCTAGCATTCATCAATTTTTAATAAATTTTATTAAACAACCGAGTTTTCCTTTCGAATAATCTGCTGTTGAGGCATAGATGCTGCGTGGGCGTATCCCCACACTTTGTGTGGTTATCGTTCAAATTTCTTTTGAATCATTAGTGACACAAACAGAGGAACCCTATTTATTTTCGGTGGAACAATGAACCTTATTGATTTGCAGCGCTCCCTGTTTTTTTTTTTATGGCGTTATTCATATTTTCCGGTAAACCTTGTGAACGCGTTAGAGCCCAGAGTTTTTCAAGATTTTTTATTTAAAATCTGCTCCGAAGCATTTGTACCACAAGACAATAAACCCTCTGTCTAGCTTTATTCTAAAACAAAATATGGTCCGAAAACCATGCAATTGAACGTCGCCCACACATGAAATGATTTAACAAGTATGTCTGTAATTCAAAGCTTCACACATTAAAGCTAACGTAGCAGGGTTTTGAATTTCATATTTGGTGTGAAGTATTTGGGCCATAAAACGATGAACCCTATCGATTTTAATCATATTTCAAATTTAGTGTAAATCATGGGTACTCTATCGATTCTTTCATAAGTTAGCAGTTTTCCTTTGTAACAAATGTTAGGGTATTTTTTTTTTCTATCAAATTTGGTGCGATGTATTGGGCCAATGGTTGCTTCACAACGTGGAGACACTTTAATATATGGTGGCTGAAAGCGTCCATTTAGATCGGCGGGTTTCTAGATACAACGCAAGAGTCGCCGTTAAGCCAGCACGACGAAAAAGGCGCCGATCGGCGACTTTTTCGTCGTCCTAGCTTAACGGCGACCCGCGACTTTTACAACACGAGAGTCGCCGTTAAGCCACGCGACGAAAAAGTCGCCGAAAAAATCGGCGCCTTTTTCGGCGACTTTTTCGTCGCTCTGGCTTAAAGGCGAATCTCGCCTCGGAAGTTTATAGTTAGTTACATGCGCAATGGCTACATTTTACGCACACAGATCACCAAATATTTCTACGCCGTCAACCACTAATGTAGGGTGAAAGTTATTTTTAGTCTTTCTCTCCCTTTCCCTTTTCCCCCTTTTGCATGGCGATTTTTGGTGTAGAATCGAAGAAAGGGGTTTGAAAATACATTTTCTGCCAGGTTTTGGTGAATATTCATGATTTTGAGAGGTCGGTTAGGTTGAAATGTAGGGCCGAAAATTGCATGTCTACTTGTCCCTACTTCCAGCTTGTGTATTTCAAGTTTTTCATGGTAAACCTCATACATGCTTTTGTGCAAGAGTTTGCCACAGTTTGCTCCATCTGTGGCAGAAAGGGTTCTACCCAACGAAAATTTGGGAAAATTTTCCAGGTTTTGGTGAATATTCATGATTTTGAGAGGTCGGTTAGGTTGAAATGTGGGGCCGAAAATTGCATGTTTACTTGTCCCTACTTCCAGCTTGTGTATTTCAAGTTTTTCATGGTAAACCTCATACATGCTTTTGTGCAAGAGTTTGCCACATTTTGCTTCATCTGTGGCAGAAAGGGTTCTACCAGACGAAAATTTGGGAAAAAGTTAGAGCCGGTCTAAGATACGAGAATTAACATTAAATCTATGGGGAAATATTTAGTGATATAAAAACGTGTACATTTTAAATCTAATTCCAGTGTAACTAAACAGGTTTTGAAAGTACACGTATCTGTAACACTCATAAATTTTAATTTGCCCTAGTGTCACTGAAAATGTTGATATAGCTCGACAGCCCAAACTCATCCAAAATCTCCTCCATTCTGATTTTATATACAAGAAGTAAAATGTAGCCATCGCGCATGTAACTAACTATAAACTTCCGAGGCGAGAGTCGCCGTTAAGACAGAGCGACGAAAAAGTCGCCGATTTTTTCGGCGAATTTTTCGTCGCGTGGCTTAACGGCGACTCTCGTGTTGTGAAAGTCGCGGGTCGCCTTTAAGCTAGTACGACGAAAAAGTCGCCGATCGGCGCATTTTTCGTCGTGCTGGCTTAACGGCGACTCTCGCGTTGTATCTAGAAACCCGCCGATCTAAATGGACGCTTTCAGCCACCATAATAATATAAGGTTTCATATTAACTCGGGATCTCGAGAAAATTTACACAGGATGTCAATATCTCGAGAACATTAACTCGAATTCTCGAAAAAATGTACACAGGATGTCAATATCTCAGGCAAATTATCCGGGGATTTCGAGAACATTAAATTGAGATCTCGAGAAAATGACCACGGGATTCCGAGACTGTATCACAGAATCGCAGGATCTCGAGACCTTCTACAAAATTTTGCATGACCCCTATACGCAATTTTGCATAACCCTTATACGCTTCCGTACCGTAGAGTGCTGTAAAAGAGAAAAAAATCGTAAAATATAAAGAAAATTGTAAATTTCCTTTATCAAAAACCAATAAAAGTATTTTATATTTAATTCTAAAAACAATAGGCAACCCGTGCAGTTGATATAAATCTGGGGTAATATGCTTATTAGATGTGTGTGTAATCAGTCTTGCTACTGAATTCTGCACTTTTTGTAGTTTATCAATAATGCGACATAAAAGGTCAATCAATAAGGAGTTGCAAATGTCCAGTCTGAAGGTAATTAATAAGGTACTTATAAGTGTTTGTATTGCGCCAGTTGAGGGGTTATTGCGAATTTTACTTATATTACGTTGGTGATAATAACATAATTTACATACATTATTTACATGAGACTCTAAGTTTAGGTGACTATCAAACAAACATTACACTTACACCAATGTTTCTAGCAGTTTTTACTGGCTATACAGAAACGTCGCCGATAGAAATATCAATATTATCTGAAATTTTTGCTTGGATAGCAAAAATATTAACTAAAGAAATTATATTTAACATTACGCGGGGTGGATGGCCGAATGGTTAGCACATGCGCGCTGTATCATAAGGTCTGTCACTGAGTCAACTCCGGGTCCTCCCACTGCTAAAGACCCCTACGCGCAAGCGAATTACTACAATAAAATTGAACAATATGTTAGTCCCGAAATAACCTAGTTTGTGTCGAGTGGACGTAAAACCCCATTTTCCTCTCTCCCTCTAGTCACCAATGATCACAAGGTGATCGCCAGACATTCATAGGTGTTGCGCATATTAGGAACATAGGAAAGATTATTCTATATCCTATATCCTTCACTAAATAACAGACCTTATGATACAACGTGCACCTACTAACCATTCGGCCATCCAACCCCCAATTAATTCACAACAGCATCACTATATTGTTTCTCATTTTTCATTACAAAAAAGATATAACACAAACATTGAAGAATCCAAAACATGTACATTAGGACATACAGGTTATCAGCTATCATTTATTATTTAATTTTCTTTAAAAGCTCTGAAAGTGTCGCACAATATCTGGTGGTGTAAAGGAGCATAATGGGTGTTCCGATGTTTTAATGTAAAATTTCTATGGAATTTACAGCTTGACCATCATCGTACAATTAGCTTTAGAATTTAGAAACTATTAATAAATTAATGTACCCCTTTGTACTTTATCTGGCAAAATACCAAACGTAGACCATGGTCTTGATTTTGAATAACAGAGAATATGTTATCAAATAAACACCAATGAAAATGAAATAATAATATGCAAAGTAGTGTGTGGGCTTATAATAACATCGTATAGAATTTGGACTATAAATAAGACATGTTCCCACCCTAATAATCAGAGTATTCACCAACTGTCTCCAAAATCATCTAACAGATCAAAGCAAACCAAAGAATACAGTATGGCTGTGAGTATGGTGATTATAGATTATTAAAAACCTTTAACGTCTTTAAGAATAAATTTATTTTCTTTTAATATACTGTATTAAGAAATATAAGAATAATTTGATTAGGAAAGATTGTTATTATTAATATTCTGACACTTTTTCTTTGTATTTTATTAATTATTTGTACCTTAAAATTATTATTATTCTTTAATAATAAATAATAGTAATTTATTTTTAAAAATCAATATGCCAGAATTACTACACTTTAAATTTACGTATTCAAAGACTAGAATAAAATTTTAGTGTGATATAGCCGAAATGTTGTCTTGGCGAGATGTTAATCCCTATTCCATTTCTGTTTGTACGTATTATCGTGAAATGGGAGCTGGCTCACTTACCAGGAGTTCAGAGGTTCCATCCCGGTGTTGGCCGAGAAAGTCGCCCGGGATTTTTTTTTATAGTGCCCCCTCCCCCTCCTTGTCAGTGATACATACCGGAGGGCCAGGCAATGAACAGTTTCTAGCCGTTCGGATAAAACAAAAATAGACCCTGTGTACATGTTGGTGTGCATATAAAGGAATCGTTGACAGTTGAAATTCGAAATAAAAGTAGGCCGTATCGCCGCTGTCCGGACAAAATATGTCATCAAAGCATGATTGCTAATTTCCTGTTAGAATCAATACCATAATAAATGTAGGCGTAGCTAAATCAAATTGAACTCTATACCTCAATCATTGCGGACTGTATGTAAAAAGCTTTACCTAAAATCGCCGTCAAACAAAATGTAAGATGACTATAAGTCGGAGCGCAACACTTGTAAGTATTTAGTAATAATTTATCATACTTTATTTCTAGATTCATTTGTACAAACTATTTGTACAAGCTTTTCCTCACATGATTTGTTTTACATCCACATGTTAATGTTGTCGTTCCCGTTAGCCCGTTCGTCATTCCGTCCACACTTTCTTGTACTCGCTTTACAGTTCTTTAACAATCTACACGGAAATATCAGAGATGACAAGCATCGGAATAAAGGTGATTTCTATATTAGCATATTTACTAAGAATTTTTAGAGTGACAGGAAATTATTTTTCACAGTTTTAACTGTTCCTAAAAATTGTTTGAAAATCGATGTAGAACATACCTCGTGTGGAGTGAGTAAATAAAAGTGTGGACGGACCGAGAACATTACGAGCACATTAACATAACAGGTAACAGGAAAAAAATAAAGTAGTAATTCAAGGGGCAATACTAGCACCATGAATATTCGTTTGTTGTACAAATGATCACAAAATATTAAAACAGTAATGCTTTGAAATAGTACACTGTACAGCCAAGACAAGTTTTGCTAGCATTTACTTAGCAGTAATTCAATATTTCTATCGATGGACATCATTCTATAGGTAATACCAGAAAATCTTCTTATTAAATAATGACAGTTTTTTTTTTATTAAGTCTTAGTTTGTTATTGACATGAATAGCAACCTAAATCAAGGTGAAATCCCCCCCCCCCCTCTAATCACAAGAAATAGATTTACCCAGAGAAATAATACAAAATTGATTTTCTTCTACCTACGTAGCTAATATTCCAAAACCATTGACTTAATGTGAAATAAATAATATTATATTGTAATGAAACATGTGTTATAACGTGATCTGGCATTAATGTTGTTACTGTGGTCAATAACAATCTATTAAGCCCACTACATGACATGGAATTATTTTCATCTTTATGCTAATAAGCTTTGAATACATTAACTTGCATGGGCCGTATGGATAAATGCATCCATTTCCCTGTTTGTAAATGGATATTAACAGCTGTGTTATTTAAAGCGACCATAAGTCTATGACAGACAGAATAATTTGTCATCATTAAAATTAAACATCTTTCAATAATACTAATTGTTGAATAATATATATATATATATATATATATATATATATATATATATTTATATATTTATTTAAGCTCTGGTACTTGTAATATTCCCCAGTAATGCCCATCTCTCGATAATGTCAAAAAAGTAAACAAACGCTATTTCGGAAGCCTACCAATTTAAAAAATTAATGTTTTCAAATGTATTAATTGAGAATTAAGTTTGAAGATGACTATAGTATAGGATATTTTAACTCCAAGCAAAGACTAGGTGTTGTTGGTTTCTATTGATTAATAACAATAGTCCTACTTTATTAAAGACTCTTTGTGTAAGATTTAGATAAAGAATTGGTCGTTCTTGCTATAATAGTTCAAAAATAGATAATGCAAAATCAATAAATTATCACTATTTGTATAGATTTGTGTAGATGTGTGCCTTGATTGCTTATTATAGTAACCACGGACCAGGTTATTCAATACTTAGCCTCGCTTCTCCAGTTTTAAATTAAATCATTAAATGGCCGAACCGTTTTAATCTTAAAATCGGAGCCATACGATGGCCTAGAGACTTGATTATGGTCTATTCATGATAATAAATGTCTAATTTACAATTTATGTAACAGATTTAGCTCTTGAATAATGAATCTTTATGAAGATAACCCTAAGCCAAACGCAAACATTTTTAGGGCTTCCCAAGGATTCGTAAAATATTCGTAAGCATTGATAAATATTTGTAGAGCCTGGCTTTTTTCAGTATTTCCCAATGCCAATCTTATCATGTTCATATAGGGATATTCGCCAGCCGGCGCCGGGTCAAGCCGAACGTTATCAAAGTCCTTACAAATGTCTTACGATCACTATGTACAAATGTCTTGCCATCAAGAATAATGGCTTGTGGTCGCTTATGAAAGTGTTGCGAAAGCTATGAGAATAATCTTTCCTATTATGTTCCTAATATGCGCAACACCTACGAATGTCTGGCGATCACCTTGTGATCATTTCGAATTGGTGGCAAGAGAGAGAGAGAAAAATGGGGTCATTTCAGAACTAACATATGGTTAATTTTATTGCAGTAATTCGCTTGCGCGTAGGGGTCTTTAGTAGTGGGAGGAAACCGGAGGACCCGGAGAAAACCTACGAGGCTGGACAGGCGACCCTACTCTTTGTCAGGTACAACTGGGGAATGGAAACCACGCCAGTTAACCCAATGACAGACCTTATGATACAGCGCGCACGTGCTAACCATTCGGCCATCCACCCCCCGTAACGTTAAATATAATTCCTTTAGTAAATATATTTGCAATCCAAGCAAAAATTTCAGATAATATTGATATTTCTATCGGCGACGTTTCTGTATAGCCAGTAAAAACTGCTAGAAACATTGGTGTTTGATAGTCACCTAAACTTAGTCTCATGTAAATAATGTATGTAAATAATGTTATTATCACCTACGATTAGTAAAATTCGCAATAACCCCTCAACTGACGCAGTACAAACACTCATAAGTACCTTAATTACCTCCAGACTGGACAGTTGCAACTCCTTATTGATTGACCTTTTATGTCGCATTATTGATAAACTCTAAAAAGTGCAGAATTCAGCAGCAAGACTGAATATAATGAGCATATTACCCCAGTTTTATTTCAACTTCACTGGTTTCCTATTGTTTCTAGAATAAATATAAAATTCTTTTTATTGGCTTTTAAATGTTCCTTTCAAGTTATGGAGAGCGATCGCTTTCGTTCAAGCCCCAAAGCAGTATCCGCAGCTGTACCTCTTTAACAACTTTTAAATCTAAACTTAAAACTTTTTTATTCCAAGAGGCTTTTATATTTATGGTTTTTGATTTTATAGATAATTATTTATTTATTTTTGTACTGATTTCATAGATATTTAGTTTTTTACTGTTTATTATTTTTCACTGATTTTTAAATTTTCTATACATGTATTTATTGTAAAGCGCACCTGAAGATAGCGCTATATAAGTGTTGTATAATAATAATAATAATATTAATAATATTCATGAAAAATTTGATTTAAATTTCGGGTGTGCTAAAGTACAACACCATTCCTATTTTTAAAATTTGAGAACAATCTACCTTTAACTCGTTGTCATCAAACATGTTTTAAAAATGCGAACATACGATTGACAAAATATCTCGCATTCTCCGCCTGTCATTAGTTTATTATGGAAGCCTATAACTACCATTCATAATTTCTACTTTTCGCCCGTTCAAAAGTCGAAAAGTCGAAAAGTAGAAGTTAGACAAAATGTGAGGCGACAGCACGCTATTCAAGCCAAAATCGATTCGAAAATAGGAAATTAAGAAATAATACACTGCGATAATAGCGCCCCTCGTTTTTTCCTAATTTCTTATTTTCGACTTGCAGTTTGGCTTGTGTACCGTCTAGTCGACTTTTTTGTATTTTTGTACTTATTGATGTCCGTAAGAAGGCGCCAACACGCATACCAAGCCATAATGCAACTCGAAAAGTAGAAATTAGGAAATAAACACACGCGCTATTAGCGACCTATCATTTTGGCTTGCTGTCGTACTGGCGACTTTTCGAGTTTCGCCTCGGAAGTGGTTGTAGTCTCAATTTGCCAGGTCGCATTTGAATACATGCAATTCGCGTTAACAGAATAGTCTGTATGATAAAGTCTAGTATTGATGGCGATATTAGCGATAAGTGGCAGAAATCACATAACTATTATTTTTTTTTCTTATACGCCGGGTTACCAGAGGCGTAGCCGTGAAATATATATGGAGGGGGGGTCCGCAACCCTACCCCCAACCCTAACCCTTTTTTAAACCCCTAAAAAATATAAACAAACACCTTGTGGCCATGCTGTCTACACAACTCGTTTGCTGATTGGCCAAGACACCGCGTGCAAAGCACTATGGTTACGTGTCTGGCTGAGCGGGCGATAAATATTTGGTTTAGGCGATAATGTTTTTGGGTACCTACATGCGATTCACTATGATAAGTGGCAGAAAAAACTGAACAAAATATTACTGACAGGCTAACTAGACACAATTTTATGGAACACGGTTACTTTTCACTTCACACATGTTTCCAGGATGATTCTCTCTGTGTTTCATTTTAGCTATGTAAACCATATTGGGATATGTAAGGTTTTATACAGATAGAATCTTACTAATCCAAATAATTGTTGTAAATAAATAGGAGTTTGGGCCTGCTATGTATGTTTTTTTTTTTTGGGGGGGGGGCAAGTATATTCAGACCCCCCCCCCCCCCCGAAAAACAATAGGGGGATCGGACCCACCCGGACCCACCCCCATGTGTGACGCCCATGCGGGTTACAGATAACTTGACAAGGGCCTAAAATAGAGTTTTGCACAACCATGACTCCAAATATAATGAGGAGAATAAGCGGCGTGGATGGTTTTTTTTTGATGAATGCAAAGCATTAATTGTGATAACACACATATTTCTCTATCATTATATTATCTCGTGCCTTGAATGCCCACGCATCCCACGATCTGATGATAAAGGATAAAGCACACGACCATGACATTTTCTCACAATTGTTTTACGTGGCTGAGCAGCACCGCACCCCCCCCCCCTCCGGGATCCGCCACAGCAAAGTGTATTTCTTTCAGTACTTATCTTATGGTACCACCCATGTCTAATTCGTGTTCTTTGCAACATTACGAAAGCAATACGAGCATATATGGGCGAATGTTTTCATTGATCTTACAAAATATTCGATACAACCGCTTGTGTTTTTAGTTCGGAATTACAAATCCTATAACTGTAATGTTTGTAATCATTACAACGGAAATATGGGAAAAGTATACAGTCGTCATATTCCAACTTATAACACACACGCGTGCGCATTGACTACATGAATAACTACATTATATCATCAGCCCAATGGAATGCTTTAAATAAGCTAAGTACCCGTCCGTTCGCCCCCTCCCTACCCCACTAATATTTTATTTTTGTCCCCCGCCTTTCGAAGAAAGCAGGGGACTATTAAAATGGGTTCGTCCGTCTGTCCGTCTGTCTTTCTGTCCGTCACACTTTTTGGGACACAATAACTCTCTTTCCAATTGAGCTATAATGTTCAAACTTGGTGTAAGTGTTTATTAGGCCAAGGCCTTGATGGAGTTCGAAGATGAGCATTTTCTGCTTAGGGTAAGCAGAGATAAGCAATTTGATTGGTTGATGCTTTGGGACACGATAACATTAGTTCTAATTAAGTGAGAGTGAGGACACTTAGTGTATAGCTTTATTGCATCAATACCTTGACTCAGTTCGATAATGAACATTTTCTGCTGAGGTTAAGCAGAGCTATAAGCAATTTGATTGGTCGATACTTTAGAACACAATAACTCTCCTTCTAATTGAGGTAGAATGTTCAAACTTGGTGTAGGCATTCATTAGGTGAATCCCTTGATGGAGTTCGATGATGAACATTGTCTGCTTACGGTAGGCAGAGATAAGCAATCTGATTGGTTGATGCTTTAAGAGCACGATAACTTTGGTTATAATGAAGTGAGAGCGATGAATTTAGATTCATTATATCATTATCTTGACAAAGTTCGATTGTGCGAATTTTCTGCCTTGGCCAAGGAGCGATAAGCAATTTGATTGGTCAAGACTTTGGAACAAAAAAACTCTGCTTTTAATTTAGGTAGAATGTTTAAACCTGATGTAGATGTTTATTAGGTGAATGTCTTGACTGATCTCAATGATTAACATTTCAAGCTAAAGCTAAGCAGAGCTAATCAATTTCATTGGTCGATGCTTTGGGACAAGATATCTTGATTCTATCTGATAGAGAGTGATGAAACTTAGTGTGTAGTTTGGTTGCTTGATACTTTTGAAAAAAATAAATGTGCGATTAATTTATATTTGTCATCTATTTATTTTGGGATTTCGGCGGGGGACATCATCCTTACTGTTGGCTTGTTTATTTTGTTTTCAGAATACCGTAACTTTATTGTATGTTTGTTTGATCGTGGTAGCCTCTATCTACCCCAGTCACTCAAACTGTCAACTCAAAGACAGTAAAACAAAACCACTGTGTAAAACCAACTCCGTCAAGTGTTGTGATGAATTATTAGTCAAAAGTTATAATTGTGCAAGGGATGAGTTGTGGAGAAGGATGTATTGTTCTCCTCTTGGCGCCTGTGGTGATAATGTCCTAAAATCATGTTGTCTGTAAGTACTGGTTTATTCTTGTTCAAAATAATTTTACCGTTGAATTGAGAAGCATAAATCATTAATCTAGGAGGTAAGCAAAAGCAATTTTGGTGCTAAATGCTCCAGTACAAACTGCAAAGTAGGTTCACAAACAATGAAAGGAAACATTAGGTTTCTAGAAATTGCAGCCTGTCTCGACCTAGAATTTCGTTATGGATATGTATATCTATTTGTTAATTGGACGGACTAACATAATCGACTTCTAAGCCAGTCTCTTATCAGCTAGACTTTCTTCATGAATACATGAAATGGGGTTTAACGTCCTACTTTTCTGCTCCGATCGGGATGATAATAAAGATGGACATACACCATGCAGTATATATGGTAAGGGGATAATTTTGCTTGGAGAACAACTAATCAAAGGTTATTTTACGTGCACGTAACGGTGCGTACGGGAGCTCGGTTCTTCGTCGCACCCCAACGACTAGACGCTGTATACAACACCACTAACAAGAGGGGACTGCCATGGAAAATCACCAGGAATTCTAGACCAACACCGGGATAGAATCCTAGACCTCCTAGTCAGTACGCCAGTTCCCCATTCACGGAACAACAGTGCTCCACTTCTTTTAAAGGAAAATAAACCGTAAAATTGGTTAGACATTTCATTCCATTACTTTTACCTCCGTAATATTGTAACATTTTGTTTCTAATTTAATTACAGGGGTTACTACATGAAATTTCTAAAATATCCTCCGGATGGAAGTTGCAACAGTTTTAAAACGGCGAACCAGTAAATTGTATCTTGGCTGAACTTCAAGATATACTAACTACTAACTTATTTCATTATATAACATTCACTTCACACTATAACGACGTTGTTCTACAGTGTCGTCTTCTATTCTTTCCTTTTATGTATACATTCCGCTTCGTAAATATCATTTTTTAATAAAAAAAAGAAGGCAAAAACAATTTGTTTTGTATTATTGCCCTCTGGGAGATTGCTGTCAAACTAACCAAAACGTACATTTGTGGAATATTGGACGAGTGAGCAAATAGATTGGCAATGATAGAAGATACGTTAGTTTTATTTTAATTAATAATTATTTTTCCTGTAGCTTTCAGGTTACATGACCAAAGACAACATTGGCGGATAAAAGACCTTTTGGGTCCTGTAGGCACTTAACACTAATGTACCCGCTCAAAACAGTACAGTTTTTGTAACTACTCTTGTATAATAATTAAAACTGATATGGATTTGTCATAATGGCCTTAAAAAGAAATTGGTTAAGTTATTGGTGTGAATCCAATGATAAATTATAATAGGGGGTTCGGGGATAGTGCAAAATTATATTCAAATCACCACATCTTTGTAAATACGGGAATTGGACTATTTTGTGGACTAACGGCTTCCTTGGGCTGATATACCTATATAGTATAGTGTCAATAGTGACAAACACTCTCAGGCGTCTACAATTTAATCCACCCAAACTTTACTGTCAACTTTATTTTTGACATAAATGTGACACTATTTATATTCAGGTAACACAATCAAAACAAATAACTGTATATTATATTGAATGTGGGCCATGAATATATTGTCAGAGTATATAATATACTGAGACGCAATGAAAACGCACCACTTTATTAAATGGTTGATTGTTAATCTCCTGCGATATTGAAATTTTGAATATAACAACATCAGATCACGATTAACTTGATATGCGATATTGGTGTTTTTGCGTAAACGCACCACAATAACGAATCAGGATTTATGGTGCAGTTTTGTGGAAGACACGATATACCAGTGTTGATATCTGAACACCGAAGCGGGTTAGTTATGCCGGTACCTCATTAGAGAGGTATATATACAGTGCCGTCGCCCGAGGGTTTTGATGCCGACTGGCCAATCGTTTCCAGCTGACTGGGTCCACTAGAGATTGACCTAGGTCTGAACGCGTAACAATGCCCCCATAGGACAACAGGCAACATCGACAGGATCGAATTCTGCCAAGCCAAACACCTTACTGACTTTTTAATCCCTTGTGCCTACGTGGTTTGTTGTTTTTCTCGTGTCAGTAAATGTCCAAATGCCCAAAATCACATTTCAGCTGAATTATGTCTCTCCAGGACTTCCAGTTCCAGGAGGTAAGTTTTCATTGCGTCTCATTAAATTTTTAAAGGGTTTGCATTTCAATAGGGAGTCGGGTGGGTGTGGGGGTTGTCACTGAGCGATCTAATGCGCCCATTAGATCATCATGTCCATTATCTATAATACATATCACGTTCGATCCAGGCAAGACGTTGGGTCAGGTACACAACTTCTAAGCGAATGATTGGAATGTTAGTTACGACATGAGTGGATGTTAACGTTTTTTTTCTTTTTCTCTACATTATACTATTCAAGTTCCACACGATGGGGTTTTAATAAATCGTCTCAAAACAACATTTATAACCGAAAAGCTAAATAATTGTGTCGTGTTGGTCAAATATTTCGTTTACCATACGCACACATAACCATGGCTGGATTTTATTTTATTTTGAAAATAGAATACATCTGTCATGAAATCGACCTTTGTGAGTTAACAGATTTGCTGATCAAAAATAGATAATCTTCATGCTAAGTTTACATAATAATAATAATAATATAATGAATTTATAAAGAGCCTGCATTCCAGTAAAAATTACTGCTCCGCGGCGCTATTACATTTTGTTAAATAAAAAATGAATTATACATATAATCACGGACATTTAAGAAATATGAAGTTATTAAAATTAAAAGAGCAAGCATTATATAAAACTTAGCTAAAAAGTTAAGTTATTAAAAGTCATCACAATCGGAACATAAAACATTGTTAACAAGTTCAATTTTTTTTAAAAGTCATGACAGATACTCCATAAAATTTTGCTTAAAAGTTCAATTTTTAAAAATCATCACGATCAGTACATGAAACTTTGCTTAAAAAGTTCTGTTTTTAACAATTTTTTAAAAGTTACGAGGGATTGCGAGTTTTTTATGTTTTCGGGTAGAGAATTCCATAACATTGGGGAGAGTCTTCAGAATGTAGAATCAAGTACGTTAAGGAGAGGATTTTAAAGTTAATACGTGATTCAATAGGTAACCAATGTAGATTCTTTAGTACTGGAGTAATATGAACACGTTGTTTGGTTCTTGTTACCATACGGGCTGCCTTATTTTGGATCTTCTGTAGCTGATTTATTTGATATGAGGGGAGATTTTATCTGGTTAGAAGTTGGTGAAGTGTAGGCTACCTGTTTACAGCGATTCCAACTTTCGAGTTCAGAGTATCGTTAACTTGGAGCACTTGAAAAATCATTACGATTTATTGACATAATATTGCATAACTTGAAATATAAGTAGAATGTTCTAACTTGTACGATTTGGAAAACCCGTAACCATGTGAGTGACTTGAGATTAGCTGAATATGGACATGATCATCTTATTAAAGATAAAACATCGCAAAAATGTCGAGATATGTGTTTCTTTTTAGATACGATTGGAGCCTGTAGTTCTCGCTTGCAAACTTATAATATAATAATATAGTTTGTGTACAGTTAATGCTTCTGTGATTCACGATCGCTACCCAAAATAAAACTCATACCCTCACTCCCCCCTTCCCTCCAACTATCTCGAGACATGGCAGTTCGAGAGATCAGAGAGATGAGGTATATGTTTACGAGCTCAAGTCCACTTTTACACATAATATTTTACGGGTTTTTTTTTGTCACACCAAGATGAATGAACAATCCGATTAAAATACATGTTATATTTCCTTTCGTTTTTATTCTATCGATGGCCTCACTACATGAAGATTTTACCGGTTGAAAAACGAAATTTTGAACTATAAAAAAGACAGCAAATATGATCTGTGTTTTAACCAGATTAATCAATAAATACATACTATATTATGTAATGTAGCAATAGTTAATGATCTAATAATGCGTGCAGCCATTGCTACAGTTAATGACAAACATTCAAATTGAATACGAATAGAAGAATATCACGACACAACAGTGAAATACAAGTACATGTAATGCCGAAGATTGATACAGTTCACTAACACTTGAATCTACAAAACTGTTCCCTTCGTTAACAGTCGGCGATATTGCAATGTCATAAGATACAACTAGGCATATTTATCAACGGATAATGTGCTGATACCCGTGGAACTGGCAGTAAATTTACTACCCAACGCCGTAGACTGGCTTGATATATCTTTACCACCACACGATAACTTCTTATACAATGTCTTTCTAAACTGACTGAAAGTATATAATAGATCCACGAATCAAACTAAAAAAACATGTTAAACATTATAGCTCTTAGATGAACAACTTCAATATAAGTATCTCAACATTTTTTAGTCTTCAGATTAAACATACATTATGAAAGAGCTAAATCTGCCTATTGCAGGTCTTTCTTTAGGCCTGAGATGTTATATAAACTATCAATTAGATATTTATTAACATGAAAAGACCTTAGTCTAATCTCGATGCCATCTTATGTGTCGGATTTTCACTGGATTTGAATCCGATTTGATGCTCACCGCTCATTGATGATTAAATCCAAAAATTGCATAATCGAGATTATGTTTTTTATTGTACCGACTTTAGTAATGATGATCGAGGCTAGGCCCAACATTTTATCGCTAATATATCGGTTCAGAGTGGAGCAATCTGACTGAAATTTTCAGCATATCCCCTTTACATTATCTCTTTTTTTTAACTATTATAGTGAGAACTGCCAGCTCTGTATCTAATCTTGCATAACGCCCCTTTAAACCGCCCTATATTTGCAGAACCTGAGAGCCAGGGCATTGTGTCTTGGAATTTTTGTATATTGAATACTCAAGTTATCGTAAATTATTCGTATTCGAAATTGTCCTATAATTTTCCCGTGAGTTCAACCGGTGGTCAACATCACTTACCTTGACATGGCCATAAAGAGATAAGGATTCAGACAACTGTTGAAGAAAGCCAATGTCTCTGCCGTTAGTCGTGTTATATAGAAGTGTGATATACGAATGTTAAAAGCTGTTAATACGTGTATAACGAGGGTAGGTCCCCAACAGACGACAAACACAACCAATAGACTCAACAATAACTGAAGTACCTGAACATAAAATAAGAAAATACCCATATTTATAGCTGATTTCTATTCTTATCTGAAGACAGAATGATCTCCTTTTTCTCTTTTATGGATTCAGACCATAATAACAGTTTTCTAGTAAATATTTCCAACTAAAACACTCCAGCTTTCAATATTTGAATGTCTCTAATTAGTTTTTAATAGATATGCAAACGCCGAATAGCGGCAATATTAATCTGAAATTTCGTTTGACTAGATCAGTTTAAATAAATACAATGCTATCTTTCAAACCTGCTTTCGTTTTTCCACTGTGTTGGCCGACTGTTCCTTGTCTTTAGTTGTTTTGTCAATTTTGCTGTTTGTTTGTCCGATAGTTGTTGATGAGTAGCCGGAAGAAGCATCGGATTCATCAACACATTTCTTCCTAGATTTAAAGAAAAGAAAACACCACCCCTCATTCTTTGAATTTTACTTACCCGGTATTTTTTGTTGGAATAGTTTTTTTTTTCTGAACGGCAACATATTAGAGAGAGAGAGAGAGAGAGAGGGAGAGCGAGAGAGAGAGAGGGGGGATGGGGGTTAACGTCCAATCGACACAAACTAGGTCATTTCGGGACTAACATATGGTTCAATTTTATTTCAATAATTTGCTTGTGCGTAGGGGTCTTTAGCAGTGGGAGGAAACCCACTAAGTTGGACAGGCGACCCTACTCCTTGTGATGACATAATAACAGGTAGAGAACAGAGAAGACACTACTTGAAAGGCATCGGCAATCTCAGTTACCCTAGGTGGGCCTAGTGGAAGAGAAAGTCTGTTATCGGGTTGCATCTTCAATCTTATGCTTGATTTGGAGTTAACGTATACCCAACAAAATGCCTAAACTAACTTCTCAGCTTTAAACCATTGCCCCAGTTAGTTATAAATACCTCCGAATGTCATGCATCAGTCAGTATATACTTAGTCGCCGGAAGATGGGGTTTAACCCCCCCCCCCCACTATTAACAATTGTTATATTTTAATTTCAATAATTCGTTTGCTTGCGATTGCATTGGTCTTAAGAAATTCGAGCTACCGGTAGCAGAATATACTTACTCGCCGGAAGATGTGGTTTTACGTCCTCCCGGCTACTAACATTTGGTAGTATTTAATATGATATATTTGCTCTCAGTGGTCTTAAGACATTCGAGGAAAGTGGGTGTTAATCAGACAATCTCGCTTAAAGTCCTTGTCGGGTATAAAGCTGGGATCGAACCCATGACTTGCTTAGATAACAGACCTTATGATATACAGCGCATAGGTTAGATAAATAGGCCACCTTTGTCTTAAAGAAGGACACTATTCGCAAGGTAATTTTATATGCCAAAACTAATATAGGCTTTCTACCGCCATATCCACTAAGTCTAAAAGAAATAGCTATCAACTATTGACAATTATAATATTAATGCGGCCGGTAAATAAAACTTAATAGCACATCATTTACTTCAGCTACTTACTTGATATCCTTGCCCTGCATGTTCCGGACTATCTTAGCACTACGCCACAGTGCCAGACAACTTCGACCATATGTGTAGCACATCACTGTCAATGGTAACACGTACAGAATCGCCAGGAAATATATGAAGTATAACTTCGTGTGCAGAGAGTCTTGAAAGTTGCTGTGACACAGATTAGTGTTGGTCCATGCACTTTTATAACTCTTCTGTGAGATAGCAATAGAGAATATAATAGTATAAGACATTGTTCAGGAGACTGTTATGGAATAATTATAAAGAGTTTCTCAAAACAAGTTCATATAATATGCTATGGTAAAACTGAATGATTTCAGAAGTACTGATATGAATGAACAATTAATAATAACTGAACTCAATGTTCATATTTATTTGATTGAGAACAAAAATCCTCCAACAACAGAGAAAAAATTCAAAGTACAAAACAGCATCGATTTATGAGAATATTTATTTCAATTTACCATGGCTATAATTGTGGGCGAGGCCAGAACTGCTGATGTCAACCAAATAATCACTATCAGAACACGCGCCCGTCTCGTATTACACCGGAACTGGGCTTTTAGCGGATAGCAAATGGCGTAAAACCTGAAATCAATTATTGACTTACATTACCAATTAGCAAATATAATATTTCTCTTTTTTATTCTTAATAATTAATACTTAAGAGTGAATCTGTTATGTCACGTAACAAAATTAATTGCGTTTTATCCACAGGTTAATCGCTTTAGGAAAGATCAATAGATTACACCGATTTCAAATACGACCCAAAATTAAAGAATAAACTGAAATCTAACAAAAGAGGATATTATAGGTTTGTCAGTGAAAAATAATAAACAAAATTATAAGACTGGTACCTTTCGAAACTAATGACTGTTAGCGTCAGGACTGAGCAAGCTAAGCTGAAATCTTTAATATAGTACACAATCTTGCAGATATATCCTTCGAATATAGTAGAGATGCGAAAAAATTCTATTTCCTAGAGTACAAAAATGTAAAAATCCGCATTAAACTTCTGCGAAGTTGTCAATTTTTTTTTTTAAATTTCATCATCTATTTTTTATATTAAAGAACAGTATTTAGTCTGAAACATCGTATCAAGAATTAAAATTGGTACTAACAGATAATCAACAAACAAAATCCAGTAAATTACCTGGCAAATACTAAGCTGCAGTAGCAAGTGGATCTTGATAATTGAAACATTCCCCATTTTGAAAACGTAGTGCCTGTCGTTTAGAAATGCAAACTTTGCTTTCGTGCACAACATGTCACTACTATTAAAATTCTACACACAGATAAAACCCAGAAACATTAAACTACATTAAATAACATCTTAATACTATCTATTCACCCCCCCCCCCCCCCATAACCCCCACCCCACCCCACTCTCACCGTCAATAAATAAAAATGGGTACCATACAAGATACGCCCAAATTTGCAAGAGGTGGACAGAGAAGAAGCTAAAAAAAAGCGGTCTTGCATACAACCAAGGGGCATTATTTAGGATATTACATTTTGATATGCGTCAAAATATCCAAAACAACCAAGATCTTTGGGATGTAAATATATCCTTTGCTTGATAAAAATGAGAGAACCTTCGTCGAAACGTCGCCAGAAATAAATCTTTCAAGTAACTTGTATTCCTTATAATTGTGTTATAAGTTATTCTCATCCAGTTACTAAATGCCGATTAAATAATTTATAGCAATTGTTTTAAGTTTTACCAAAATCGGATAAAAGTTATGACCTCTAGAGGGTCCACAAGCGTGACTTTTCGTACAATCAGGGGCCATAATCTAGGAAGTTATCGTCCGACAGTCGTATGTGCCAATATCGAAAGGAACCGAGATATTTTGGATATAAAGATGTTTTAAGTTTCATCAAAATCGGGTAACAATTGTGACCTCTAGAGGTTCCACAGCCTTGCTATTACCAATCTGATTAAAGCACAGATTTCGTTTCGTTTATTATAGTTCAAAATTTCGTTTTACTTGTCGTTACAACACTAGGATCTGGAAGAGTTGTTATATAACCCGCGTTCTGGGCGATGTGAAGAATTATGCAATGAAACGGTCTATTACAGCGAGTTCTTGGCGTGCGGTTCCAGGAACTGTGGGTAAACCATTAGAAACCTCAGCGCTGATTAATTAATAAATATCCGACGTCATAGGGTCAAAAGCCGCCTGTGTGACCCCTGGCACGACCTTCCACTATAACCGGTCAGATCTTCATGTAGTGTAGGCCATCGAAAGTATTAAAAAAAATACGAAACGAAATATAAATCTGTATTATAATCAGATTGTGGTATTACATACTTACGTACAGCGAGCGGCCATTTTGTCCGGCATTTTTGGTTTGATTTTAACAGGATTCGAACTCAACCGTCATTACGGTGTATCGGTGATATATTTGGATGAATTTTAAAATCAAATAAAAATTGTGACCTCAAGTGGGACCACAAGATAAAATATGTGATTTTTCGTACAATCAGGGGGCCATAATTTAGGAAGATACGTTCCGATATGCTCTAATTTCGAAATTAACCAAGATCTTTTAAGCTTCATCACAAGGATAAAAATTACGTTCACAAGCTAAAAACCTGAATTTTTGGGTACAATCAGTGGCATAATCCATGAAGCTGCCGTCCAGCTGAGATCTTTGGGATATAAACCTATATTTCAAGTTTCGTCTACGGATAAAAATTGTGACCATTAGAGTGCCTACAAACATAATGTAAACGGACACACGGACACAAGGACGGACGGAGGGGCGGACGGGCAGAGGCGGCGACAATATACGTCCAGATGAAAATGTGGGCGTATAAAAAGGAATTTCACTCAAACTAGTACCTTTAGTGGCAGACAAACCAAGACAACAAGAAGATCGGAACAAGCTAGTCCCAAGATTAAAAGAAAAGTTGCCGACCGACTTTTCATCCAAAACACCAGTCCACATATAGTTAGGACATTTCCTGGAAATTACAAAAAATATCAGGCTATGTAAATAGTAACTGCATTGTATTGATTTTACATTTCGAGCTTTATTTTGATTTGCATGAAGGCGTCTATCTAATTTCCAGAACACAAAATCTAAATAATTTACTCCACATCTTTAATCTATGTAATGCTTTTGGTCTAGAAAGATGATGCTGATTAAATATCATTTAATAACGATTATAATTATTGAAAATACAGTATGCAAGATTATATATTATACATCAAAAATAGACATCTAGTCAAATTACTTTATTCTAAGCAAATTATGAATGTTTGAAGTTTTGACAAGAAATAGCCGTTCATATTCCCCATTGCCATGATAATCAACGATTACTGATTTTCAGTCCATTTATCAGCAGTCTCTGGTCATATTATCGTTTAACGCAGATCTGGCGGGCATTGTCTAATCTCTCAATATCTAAGCCATCCGATGGTCTAGACAGTTGACCCATGGGTTTGGCATATGAATAAATATCTAAAAATAATATATATAACACTTGATGTCAGAAACACGCCGGTATATGCTAGATTAGCTCTTACATAATAAAGCCTAATATGCTTATTTATATACTTAGTCCACTTTACAGTATTCCCATTTGGTGCACTTACTTACCTATTAAGCCAAAACCAAATATAGCGGAATAAACAGTGGTTACCGCCACAAAAGTAACACGGTCTTCTTCTTCTGATAAAAATTCGTCTCCATCTGGGTCGTCATCATCCTCTCCATCAACCCCAGCAGGGGGTTCAATATCATCAATACACAAACCATTACAGACACACATCAACTCACTCACTTCATCTCTTGAGTATTTATAAAAGAAATCCCAGGAACCGAATTCATCTAATATGGAACATCTATCAGATGTTGGGTCACCGATTTTTCTGCTAACTTCAGTAGGGTCGTTATCAACAAGAGGCGAATCTGTGGACACGTTTTTCAATGTGTCATTGTCAGCTACACCCAAAGGATTTATAGATAAAGTACTACTGATCTCCACGAAGGACACAGTCGAGTTTTGTTCCAGGACGTGAGTGATGCCTGTAGAATCTTCAGTGACAAAGCTCGTTGTTTCATTTACGTCAACTGAAAGAGTTTATCATTATCAGTATACCCGCACATATTTACATGTTCAAGGCCCAGTATTTAAGACCAATAAAAAGATGTTTTAATGTAAATATTTAGGTCCAAAACATATAAAAATTGTTGACTTATGGAAAGGCAATTTCTAATTTAGTTTATGCTGACACACAGAAAATACCAGGAAGTTCATTTATTTCAACAGAAAGATGATAAACTCATTAAAACAATCCCTGATACATAGCAGTTCCCGTAAAAGATCTAATATCTGGTATATCTTCCTTTAATAGAAAGGTGGGTGAGGTGGGGGGGGGGCAGAAATGTTTATATCCAGGCCAATTTGATCGCCCTCTTCCCCGTCATGATTTCTATTAATTCTTCTATCGTGTTGCATAAACATGGACACTTTACAACATTTGAATGTTTGGACTATTTTTAAGTTCTCAACCGGGAACATTCGTATTCTTACAATGTATAGACCCCCAAAGAAGAACCTGTGTAGGACGGAGGGTCTGACAAAGAAAGCCGTCTAGTCGTTCGGATGGGACGAAAAACAGAGGTCCCATGTACACATGGCGTGCAATTAAAAGATACCTTGACAGTTGGAATTCGATATAAGTAGGCCGTTATATAGTGCCGCTGTCCTGGCAAAATTTCCCTCATAGCACACTCTATGGCGTATGCCCATCTTCATTAGCCATCTTCCTCAGGGTTCTGTTTTTGGTCCTATTTTTTTAAAGTTATCCACCTCACTACTTCGTGATATAGTTACAAATTATGACTTAGAATTTCATTTACACGCGAATGACACCCAATTATATATTTCTTTTTCACCTAAAACTCCAGATTCTTATGTAAATTCAAAAGCTGTTATTGAAGAATCTACATCTGAAATTAAATTGTGGATGTAAAAAAAACTTTCTACAACTAAACGATGATAAAACTGAATATAATAATTGGTTCAAATAAAACAATTATCAAAAATTGATTGTAGATCTCCCTTCTTAATTGGTAATAGTGAAATTAATCCTTCGTCAGCTGCCCGTAATATTGGTTCAATATTTGATATGAATATGAATGTGGAAGCCTAAGTAAATTATATATGTAAACTGTAAATTTATCTCGTTAGACTCTAGTTAATGCGTTGGTCACTTCTACATTGGACAAGTTTAATCCGTTATTACAGTCTAAAATACAGCTGTACGCCTTATTAAACGCATTAAAAAAAAATTAACATATTATCCCAATTTAAAAAAAAAATACAGTGATTACTTAACTCATAGAATTGATTTTAAAATTTTATTGTTAAATTTTTGAACAACTTAACGCTTGTGTATTTATCTGAACTTTTACATATGTATATACCAGGGCGATGTTTACGTTCTTTAGATGTAAATCTTCTTTTAAAGCCCAAACATTCAAAACTTTTAACTTTCGGTCAAAGATCTTTTAGTGTTCAGGCACCTGCTTTATGGAATAAGTTACCATATGACATCAGGTCCTGTAATAATGTTAATACTTTCAAGAAAAAACCAAACACCCATATATTTCTCCAGGCTCTTTAGATAAACATATAAAATTTTTTATTGATTCTTGTTCGTATTTTTATATTCATTAGTATTGTATTGTTTAATTTTATGATTTCATAATTCTATATTTGTTCCATTGTAAAGCACCCCTGAACACGTATATGTGAAAGGGGGCTATACCAAATGTTTGTAATAATAAATAATAAAAAGTCGAATGTTTATCTTATATAAGGCCCAGTATTCCGGACCAATAAAAAGTTGTTTTACTGTAAATATTTAGGTCCAAAACATATTTAAATAGTTCAGCGTTAACTTGGCTTTCTAATTGATTTTCATACCGCCATCTTATAATCTCAAATAATCATCTGTCGAAGTATGAACGATAACTCACTTCTAACTAACATCGAAGTCAAGGTAGTATCCTACATTTTTTAACCGTTTATGTTATAATCTATATAATATATGCAGTTTTTATTTTTATTTAACTTAAAAAACCCCCCAATATTTATAAGCTTTCTACAGTTGTGCGCCTTTATAAAAGACACTCTATTGGAATTGATGAAACCATTGACCAGAAAAATAAGTAAACAATTTTGAAAATTGTTTAAACAACACCTTCTAATAATATATTTACCTGTTATATCTACTGTCATCATGGGTTGCCACATACATAAAGTTTGACATCTGAAAGAAATGTGAGCAATGTGACATAATGTCCAATACGTTTATCCATTGTGATATTTGGGTGATGTGTTCCTGGTTATAACGATTTTTTTTAATATTTTAAAAACAAGATATATCTATTTTGGTGTTCAACAGTCGACAGTTTAAGTATAAACATCAAGATAAATTTTAATAGATAGAACTTGTCCCGTCATCAATCGACATTACAGACCAGAAAGGTCTAATTAAAAACTGAAATCAAAGAAGTTTAGCTCCGATAAAGCGGAATAAAATGAACCTGCTCAATTATTCCATTTTACAAGTTTCTTCAAAAGAATGTCGCCACCACTTACATTATAAAAACGAACCATTGTACATAATCCATGTCCTTTCAAGAATTCTCAGGTTTTGAATGGAATGCATTTTAATTCCATTTTATACGACATTTAAGACATCTGTAACACACCCATTTCATGACAATAACTATTTATACAATTCCTGAACATACATTTTTTCTGGATTTTTTAAAAACCTATCTTTTCCATTAGCAAATATGGTTCCGGTGTCTATCTCCAGGAATATAATGGCCTGCTTTATAGGATTTGTAATGGATAGTAGCGTTGATTTATTTCTGAGATTGTCTGGCATGTTTCAGAATAAATCAGAAGCATATGACGATAAATAGATAAACAAAATCGAGAATAGTTCCCTTAACAAAGACGACAATTCCACGGTTGGTTGACGCTAAAAATATTGTTATTGGATTTGACAAGGAGATAAGAAACGTTTATGTTTTGTTCGAAACAATAACCAAATAAAGCAGGGATTTCACACTATCATTTGCATATTTCTACAATCATAAACGATTCGCACTCCATGGTGATATCATAAAATTCGGATATGATGCACTACAGATTTCTAGTCATCTCGACACATTTCCAGTGGTATAGTGTCGCAACTCATTTATAGATAGTCAAAATGCATACTAATGTATAGCCCCATCAATGTATTATCGGTATTCGGTGTGTGTTTGACTGGCACATAAAAAAAATAATATTAAATGAGAAATCGGTAAACAGAATGAAGGAGAGACCAAAATAGCGAGGAACCTTTATATAAAAATATGTTGGGTTTTTTTCGGCTACAGAACTAGCAAATGAGTATCAGTTATGCTTTTTGAACTATACAATTTGCGCGGACCATTACCGTATAAATCATTCCGCTACTCACGAGCTTGTCTGGTAAAAACAACGTCAGTATTCATTTAGTAATAAAAGCACCTCCCTATTAAACCCCTTTTACTCACAATATTTGTATACTGTCCACAGACGGCACTTGTGTACATGTAAATCATATAAACATTGTCCCCCGGTTCAAGGCAATTTAAATACCGTAGACTACCTTTATTTATTTTGGCCATCAATTTAAAACCTTTCTTCTTACGATAATCGGGGGGGGGGGGGGGTTGCCGAATGGTTAGCACGCGCGTCATTGAGTCAGCTGGCGGGATTCCGATTCCCCGATTGTACGTGACAAGGAGTAGGGTCGCCTGTCCAACCTCGTGGGTTTTCTCCGGGTCCTCCGGTTTCCTCCCACTGCTAAAGACCCCTTCGCGCAAGCTAATGATTGAAATAAAATTGAACCATGTATCAGTCCTGAAATGACCTAGTTTGGGTCGAGTGGACGTTAAACCCCATTTCTCTCTCTCTCTCTCTTACGATAATCCATGTATATTTGTCTCCATTGAAACCTATTTTAATAACACGTGTTTTATATATGCTTTACACGAATATTACATTTTCTAAATCACTTACCCTTATTTCTCAATCAATCCATATAAATACAGTTAAAATATATGAATTTTTCAATAAAAAATGAAAATTTTCTAAGTTTGATATTACATGTAATTGGAAAGTTTTTACAAGATTACATGTTGGATTCTTTGTTAAGGGGAAACAACTCACATCCTTCATTACGGATGCAGACCACCATTAATTTCCCCATTGACTTCAATGTTAATTCTGGCTTCTTTGCCCAGTACCCACCTACAACTTTTCCCCAAATTTTCGTTGGGCTGAATGCTTTGAACTACAGACAGAGGTTGACCCCCAAAATTCTTAGATACACAAACTTGAAGAAGCATACTAAAACATGTAACTGTAGAATGTGATGTTTACTCAGATATCCGGAATAAACTATTTGTAAATCAGGATGTTAAGAATAAATCTTCAAAAGAATTGTTTTTAAATATTTTAAAAATGATTTATAACATTATTCTTGCTAACTGTCTTTTAAACATGTTAAAACAAAGGAGAAGGTTAGTCTGAATGTATTTTATTACTTTATTATTTAATTATTTAGTATTTTTAATGATTTGATTTTAGATAATGTATATATATTCTTGTATGCAGTGTGTGACACTATAATAAACATATTACTTACTTGCTTACTATTCGGCGTACATATCACCGCGGCCAACCTGATAACTCCGTTATCCTGTTTGAATGGCATTTAGTAATTGAGCACATTAAAAAATAAACACAAAGTTATATGGATAACAATTACTATATTTCTATTAAAGCTACGTTTCAACAATGATTCTCTTGTCGTTTTCAAGCACTATACTGATACAGATAGAAGGAATGAGATATATATACTATGTACAATCACAACATTCAATGAAAACATAATTAGGAAAACAGTGACCCTTGTTCTTATAATGAAACCATATAGATTGACAAAAGCATTTAATTGTAATGTACACTAGGTAGAAATATTTACCAAAACCTGGCAGAAATTGTTAATTCAAACCCTCTTCGTACATTCTACACAAAAAATCAACAAAATTGGGCATGAAAAGGGGGAGAAAAGAGACAGAGAGAGAATTGCTATAAATAGACGAACTAAAATTTGTGGGTACCGAGATGGTGAAATTTAATGGTGGTCGGCCTCCTATATGGTTTTATAAGTTCATATATCATCAAAATCCCTTTCTTTATAGCTTCACATTTATTTTTGCAACATTATCTACGATCCTTACTTAATTTTGTCAAAATGTGAGTTCTGCAAAAAGATTTAAAGAGTTTCAAACAAATCACATCAAAAATATTCAAAATGGTCCATTTTTTACCCTTTTATGCCCCAAACTGCCAATATTTGCCTATTTCTTGGAAAGTCTAAGATGAAAGGCATTTATTTCTAGAAACATTGGCCAGTATACAAGAAGACGGGCTGCTAATTGGTTGCATTGAGGGTAACTGTAAGGAACTATAATGAAACTTGTAAGCCCATCCCCTAAAAATGTCACTGTGGTAACAAATAAAACTTAGAACAGGGTTCGCTTTAGTTTTTTATATTTTACGCTGACATTTAAATGCTATAAATGTTCCTAGTGCAAAAACGGAAAATTTGACCTTCGAGGTCACAAAAAACAAAGGTGAATTTAGCAAGTTTATATTTTTATTGAAAGAGTGATTACTTTCGATCATTTTCAGCATGTTTTCATGATACTAGTATGGCTGCGCATTCATTTTCAGAGCAAATGACCTCATCTGATCTTTGACCCCGAAAATGCCCTAACGGCGGACTGATTACCACTCGGCAACGTATTCTACACAAAGTTTTACTATAGAAAAGTTGGGCTTGATTTTGTGTGATTTGAGGGATCCCCCCCCCCCCGCACTGAGCCTCCAGACTACTATTAATTAATATTTTATTGCTCTGTAAGTGCCACATATTAAAAGATCACCACAAATAAAAGATTTACATCCACAATTTAAAACATTAAGCTGCAAAAGACACATCTACAGCATATCCTGGACCTGGGATTTAGAAGGGAAATTGATTAGAAATTTTAAAAAAGAGGAACATTTAAACTAGTTTAAATTAATTTTTAAAGAAAACTATCAATATTGATGGCTGGAATGTGCGACGCACGAATCGAGCGAGGAGAAAATGTTTGATAGGGGGAAAAAGCGCAAGTGAATCGAGAAGATTTTATAGATTTTGCCACCGCCCATAAGTTAAAAACTTGCCCTTAGGCGCCTATAGCTAGTTTACATATTATAAATAGAAATATTATATACTTCAAGCTTTTTGAAATAATATTGAGTTGTTGAGAACTGAAACAAGTTCGTGGATGGCTACCAGATGAGAGAACATATTTTACAAAACGTAGCAGGATCGAAAGAAAGTCAAAGCTACTTACGTCCCTTTAATAGGTACCGTTGAGAATCTTGTGATATTCTGTTGTTATGCAATACTGTACATTATTTGTTATTCTACGCCGAAAGTTATTTTACCTGGACCGGTAATTAAGGCAATTTTGGCTACGGGTGCGTTCCGGTAGCCAAATGCAAATTCCGACTGGCCAAAGTCAGCCTCTGGTTGTCTCTCCCTTCCCAATCCCTATCCCGATACAAATCTGAATAAAAATATTGTTTATTAAGAATAAAAAAAGTTCATCCAGATTTTCCGGCGTGGTTTCTCCTTGTCAGTGATACAGGACTCAGGGCCTGACAAGGAAAGCCGTCTTGTCGTTCGGATGGGACGAAAATCCGACGTACCGTGTACACATTGGCATGCACGTAAAAGATCCCTTGACGTTGGAATTCGATATAAGAGTAGGCCGTAGTGCCGCTGCCCGGGCAAAATTTCACCCATAGCACACTGTATGGCGTATGCCCGTCTTCATTAGCCCAGTTCGGAGCAGAACAGTAAGACGTTAAACCCCATTTCATTTCATTTCATTTCGAACTTTGTGCACGCAGAATTTGGTTATGATTATGACACACACAATACTAAAGTGGAGCAGATGAAAACATTGGATATTTCAATTCGTCTGCACAGTGACGATTTTACGTGTGGATGGGTGGATGGAAATAATAGAGACTTTCGGCAAACGTAAATTCCTGGTCCGCATCGCGTAGCCGTAACGATTTTGCGTGTGACGTCATCAATGCGTGTGTATTTCTCATACGTGATACGGCACCCGAATACGGCAGCACGTATCGAACAGCTTTCATACGGAAAACGTCCGTATAACATCGTCGTCTTTTTACCGTATGTTTTGCTACTTTTAGACGCTAAAATATTGTGCCGTAGCGTTTTTATGAATATGTGTATCCTAGAACACGAAGGTGTATATTTGACGTGATTTTAACCATGGCAAAGACGATTTCACTCCCTTCAGGAATTTGTAGGCTAGGTACTTGACTAGTACTGATGTTGATCTTGGTAGATAACTGCCATTATGCTGTAATAGAACTACGCTCAGCTCAGCTACCCATACCTACGCGGCGCGAAAATCTGCCAAAACTCTAAAACTAAATTAACGCAACGTAGCAGGTGACGATATGATACGAATACGTTATACGGATGGGGAAAATTACACTTGCCAAAAGTCTCTAATATCTTTTAAACCCGTAGTCCACTCCGAATAATATCGTGGATTGTGTAAACAATAAAGAAATATCCTTTATGGGTATACTGATATATTACACAGTTTCAATAGTAAATATATTACTCACATCGACATTCTCATAAACAGGTATGGCCTTTGTGTGTGTATGTGTGTGTGTGTGTGTGGGGGGGGGGGTCCCGTGTACCCATTGCCGTGCACGTAAGAGTAGGCCGTAGTGCAGCAGGCCGGGCAAAATTGTTCCAACATAGCACACTGTATGGTGTACACCCTTTTTTCATTAGCCCAGTCAGAGCATAACAGTAAGACATTTAACCCCATTTCATTTCTTAACAAATCTCTTGAAACTTTACATACCTATTCATTATACCCTAAGAATGATCCCTAGTGTTTTTGGCGAATGTCCGACCCCCAGGGGCAGAGTTACACTCATTTTTTGTTTGTGTGTCTGTGTTGCCTAAAGGCCGCAAATCTTAAAGGGTCGTCTTGGAACATGGAATATGCGATAAGCTCGCGAAGTTGTTAAACTCATGTGCCTTGGTGTAATCAAGCGAAAACAAATTTCGGCAAAAAGTATGACCAGTCACAATTAGTGACCTTACATTTAAAAACAATAATGAATTTCTTTTATCCTTACATAATGACATTAAAAATGAGTAAGATTTATGGAAACAGCGACCTCATTCAAATAAAAAAATGATGAAAAATGAGCTGTGCGTTTCTTTTTTTGAAGAGTATATATACCTCTTTGAGAATACCTTCATATGTCAATATATATGCGACTATTAAATTCAGAAGCTTCAACATGTACAGTATGAGCATATGGGCATATAACTCATTGACTCACTGTGAAAAAATGGACCAACTTCAAAATCTTGCTCCTTATACTTAAAATGGCCTATTTGAAAAAAATGCCGAACTACATCAAGGAAATACTGAAACGCATGAATCGGAAATGCTGAAAAGCATGAATTCGCCCGAGAACCAAGCTGTGTGAAAGATCTTGTCACTCCATCAATACATGCAGATCTTTTGTGTTACCAATTAAATTAGATAATCAAAACACCCGATCCGCAGAAAGTTAATAGACAATTTAGCATGCTAGTAGATACGACAGGGTCGATCGGCCCCTGCTTCCTCTGGTGGTTGTTGTTAGCTGCTAAAGTAACAATTATCAAAGACGAGCCTTTCTTATCTACTGGTAGCAGCTAACAAGGGTCGTATAGTTGTTATACGCTATTGGTAGCCATTAGCCAATAATTCATTAGGCCGCCCCTGGCGCAGCTACTAGCATGCTAAAAACTTTAGTCTGCTAACTTCCTGCCACCAGCAGACTAACAATTGACGGATCGGGTTATCATAATCCCAAATTAGTTTATTATATTATGATCAACAACATTATAATATAGAATTGCAATAATGTGTTAGGAAAAACTAATATTTATTTTCAATATTGTATAGTATAAACGTTTAACTTACAAATTTTGGAATTATCCATTTCTGTGGCTCGGGTATGATTTGATCTTGTAAGACATTACTGTACGCTTTCTTGGCGTATGATACCTTTTATAATTAGAAGGACTGTAAATATAAAATGGTCCCAAAATTGACCCCATCCCACCTCTCGCATGATACATGTATGTTTGTGTGCGTATGTTTAAGTTCTGCATTGTCTGTTAATATAGAAACTAGCAAGGATTTTTTTCATGAAATAAGAAAGAAGCCACAGTTCATCACCACCCGCCACGATTTCCCACGACGACAAATTACGATAAAAGTATTATCTCTATCTTATTTATTATAGTATTTGGAAATTGTTAAAATAAAGTTTCAACTGTCTATAGGCCATATGATAGGATCCGCAGACATGTAATCGGGTGCCATATAACGGTCAATTGAATTAAAACATGCTAATATAACTTCTCTTTCATGGTTTAAAGATTATTACAGGCGCCTTAAATAAATGAATAAGTATGTTTTTATGAGAACAGGTATCGTTTAAGTGGGTTAATATACACATTATACCGGCTTCAATATTATAAGTTTATGTCTTTTATCACGTCTTCATAAAGCGTTGTT